GAGCTTCTTTTAGCCCATGAGCTTTTCTCCTGCTCGAGACCCTGCCATAAACATCGTCTTCACCGTGCCACAACTGTCTGAATCTTGCACGACCTTCCTTTCACGGAGATACATCAAGTGTCACAGGTTTTCGGTCCACCTCATATGCTGTAAAATGGGCATCGCACCAATTTTCTAGCTGTTTTAAAAAATAGGTTGAATAGGCCATACAAGTTTCAAGTTTCAACACCCTGAACTTTTTCAGAAATCTTTGCAATATTGCAATAGCTTGGGCGTGAATTGCGCCTGTTCCTTGTGGCACTGGTGTTTCGTTAAGTTTGTCTGCGGGTGAGTACATCAAAAATCCACAACACCTTACAAAAATACCAACGTTGACAGGACTTCATAGAGGTCTGTCAATTCGACGTCGTAACGAGCAGTGACATGTAATACAGATCATCACGTTTCATTCATCGCCTATTGGAGGTCCTTTTCATTTTGTAGATCCCAATCCATGCTATTCAGGCGGCGCATCGATCGCGACTTTTGATAAAGACGTAGCACATGGTTTCACACGATATATAGTAGCATTTCCGTCCATTTGCCGAGTCTTTTCTTCAAGGCTGTTAACGGCTTCCTCGATCGGCACAATCACAAGTAGATCGTCCATATAGACCCATGCCAACGTGAAGCCACATTCAATTGTTGTGTAGTCAAAGGTTTATTGGTTAAAGCATCCATTGCGTATTTTAGCTGAGTCCATAATCTTCTAGCTTGCTTAAGACCGTACAATGAATTCTTAAGTAGTTACTACATATGGGGCGTATTAAGAACCCCTATCGCCGTAAAACATCTCGTTTTCTTTCCATTTTGCTCGACATCGAAAAAATTAAGGCTCGCCACTTTGTCGGCCTTATTATGTGCGTTCGGCACGTTGCCCTGCCTTGTCAGCACGTTTCGCTCTTAGAAGACAACGCAGATTACCATGATAGTTATAAGTTCTATTATGACTGACGCAAAAGTTGACGTGGAGCTCACTCTAAAAAGCTGGACCACATACCTCGTATCTTTCGATTATTCACTTGCATCGGTCTTGCTTGAGCGGCCACTTGTTATTCATTTGTACCACAATCCAATACTTGTTCTCTTTTAGTGTCAGCAACGCTTCAGACACTTCCTTGGTCCACTTATTTTTCTGTAGGCCTGAACAAAATTCTTGAGTCCGGGTCATGAGCCAAATATACTACAGCTGAGGATCCACTTTTCATATAGTTTGCTTAAAACCTATAGGCTTTCGAGAACTGCGATCGCGTATCGTAGATTCTTGGCTCCATTGCAGCTTTAGCGACTAAATTTCAGCTTTTCTTTTCAAATAAGAAATGAAAAATCTTATTTGTCCCTGAGTGTGTTGATATTCGTTGCGTTCTGTGTGTTGATCACATCCCACTCTTTTGATGTGTAGACCCGGTATGCAGCGGAGCCGCCCTGCGCTGTGCAAAATGAATGCTTTGCCTCAAAGAATTCGCGTCGACTGGCGCATAGATGTCGTTGTACGAGCACTTACTATGCGTGGGGTCTTTTGATACTCCTGGTACCCTACTTACTATGCGTGGGGTCTTTTGATACTCCTGGTACCCTACAGCTCCTGCTCCTTTAGACATAATTACATCGGAGGTCTTTTTCTACCACACGTTGGCGAGCCTCTCCTAAAATGCGAGTCGTGTAATTCAAAATGATAGAGATAAACTGAAAAGATTGTCAACCAAGAAAGCGGTTGGATGAAACCTGCAACGCGTTGCCGTACACCTTGCACCTTGCACAAAATAAGCTTTGACTTAACAAAGCTGCGAATGCATTGTACATAGGTTGAGTTCATAAATTTCTCTAGGAGCGAGACCAAGAGCCTTGAACGTAGAGCTCTGCAAATCATAGAGTAGTTAAAAAATAATGTTACGGTCTACGACAACATGTAAAGTGTTATTACATAACATAAATATATAAACTACATTGACAATGATTTTGTTGATATCATCGATGAGTTGAAAAATGATCATTTATTGCAATACATTAGCCTGAAACACCCTCATCCACTGTACTGAGGCTCATTCTCCTTTTGCCTTTTCAAGTCATTGCGTAAAACATTGCCCTTAACAAGCTATCGCTGCGCTTAAAATATCGCTTCACTTTGGCACACTCAAGTGCCTGTTCATTAGAATTTCAAACGTCCTCTTCATTTCTGTGTGACATGGCTCAGCGAGCCTCCAAGAAAGGCGCGGTTCTTGAGACCGACGCCCTTGACCTATGCTTGGTGTGAAGGCCGAGGTGTTATCACGATCAATCACGGCGTCTAATTCAACACTTCTACCTTTATCGGGAAAGATACGGCCGATCTGCTTCCCAATAAGAGGCCTTGACTGCACTCTTCCTTTAATCTGCACGACACACGAACTCTGTGTCTGCTCCCATTGGCATGAATTGTTGCGACATCACCTGTTCAACTCGTCACTTGTGAGTCAGATTCTGGATCAGGAAGCCTAGATTGGTCGTCTGCAAGTGCGAAAATTGTGTCGACTCTTGCCGAGCTCATCACGACACGAATACGGTTTTGAGCTGTTTGAAGAATCATGCCGCGCTGAAGTAGAGCTTTTAATGCTTAAGCATGTGGACCTTACCCTCGTGTCTAGATCGAACTGAGCATCAGAAAGTCTTTCCACGGGCGCTTTTTAATGTCACATTTCGCAACTTCTTCCCGAGTACCACCTGTGTAAAGAGCAGCGGCAGCCAAGTAAGTCCTTTTTATTCAAGTGGCTTCAGGCAAGGATCCTGAATGTAAACGAGAAAGCCAAATCGTATTGCACGCACTTTTTCGACTATGTGAACAATATACGCCAGCGAGCTCGTCTTGATTGTAATGCGTTTGCAAGAGCATCATTTAGTGGTTGACTATGCGAAGTGCAAGGCATGACTCGGACGTCGAGGTGAAAGCCCGTCAGCTCCGGCTCCAATGCTAGCAGCCCTCTTGTTTCAGGATTACATCTGTCACTGATACCAACCAAACGTCGGGACCACTGTAAATTGGGTCTTACTCGCTAGTAAGAAACGCGCTGCAACGTGACTTTTTCAAGTGAGAAAAATGGAGGAGGGTGCGGCAGCTCGTAAATGACAACAGTGGCAGAAGTGTTTTGCTAAAGTTGTTACTCTAACTGCAATGAGAATATAAAAAATAGTTTTTATACCCCACTAGATTCTGATAACGTACCCACCGGCCCACTAAACAATCAAATAGAAGGCAGGCTGCCCCTTGTTTATTCATCAAGAAACTCTGACAAGAACGACTGGATCTCGTGATTCTTCTCGGCTGTGGTGGCACGTTGATTCTGTCCAAAAGTCTCGGTTTGCGACCAGATCTGATATTTGCCACTTTTGTATGTGCGCTCGATGTACGCGCTGCAAGGCTTGAGGCAAGAGGTATCCAGTGAGAAGGCCTCGGCGGTTAAGGACAGTGCCGCCGCTCTCAAACAGAGAATGCTTAAATAGTGTTATTGCTTCAGCAAGCCCACACAATTTGAAAGGAATCTTTAGGCTTTCTTTAGGATGTTAAAGTATGGGTCAACTTTTTTTGCTACGAGCGTGAGCCGTTCAATGCGGCGTGGTCGCAAATTAGACCACAAACACCGCATTTTATGATTCAAAATAGCGTTTGGTATAAATTTTCCATCGGTAGGAATTAATGTGTTTTTGCCTGCTCTGACACCGGCGCGTTGCTTTTGATCAATCGAGCTCCCGGTTATAGAGTTGCTGACGCTGAATTTCTGCTTCGTCAAGATAGTAACCGTTATCGCCCCCGGGAGATGGTTTCAGCTTTTTGCGTGCATTAAGAATTCGGTTTACCTTGACAGGTAGACAAACACTTGGAATACATCTGATATGTCATGACGGTCATTCTCATTGAGATTTATTTTAAGTGTTGCCGGGATGATATCTGCGGGTCAAATTGTATCGACAGCATGGACTTAAGCCATTCCCAGAATACAGGCAAGCTATTTATCAAAATAAAGTAAAGCCTGTGGAGGCATGCGCTGTGCTATTTAGCGCTTTCGTGATGAGTTGGAGATCTTTGCTCCAGCACCGCGGCCTCCCCGCGAAAGTGGCTTGAAATATTTTTCACCTCACGATCGTCACTTTCTGCCTGACCATCTGATCAGCGGTTGACATATCCAATTCGATGCCTAGCACTTTGAACAAAATTTGCCAACATTTCAATGAAAGATCTCTATTCGATAAACTGGTCATCGGCAAGCCATGTTAGCAAAAAAACGCTTTCAAAGAATAGGCTGTATCTTCATTGGATACCATGGAGCCATTTTTCTCATTCAGTCGACAGATACCGAATTTACCGGGCGTATCTTCTGGAAGACCGATTTAAAGCCGATAATTATGGACTACCAAACCCTGCCGAAGCAGCCGGCTGGCCAAAGGCGCCGAAGAATGGCCCATATTTTGGTAAGCGAGCCATATTACATTGTAAGTGCGCTAAACACCGTTCAGCAATTGTGCAAATATAGAGATACCAATGAGCTGGTACTGGTGAGAGTAATGGGCGTTCATGACAGAGAAGTCTACATAACACATGAGATAAAAGTCTGACGTTATGCAATACGTATAGTTATATAGCTAAACTGATATTTTGCGGACATCCTTCGAGAGTGAAAGATTATGCTTTGATCAATATATTAGGATTTAAGGATCAGTAATAGCTTTCAATTGGCTTGTTAGGAAGCTGGTTGTCTCAGTCTCCGAAAATCATTTTGAAACCATATACCGGAAGACTGCATGGGAAAGCAATACCACCAGCAAAAGCGCAATGGCCACAAAAGAATTCTTAAAACTTATCTTTGTCTAGCAGGATAATTTGAAGCAGGATGTGCCACCGTCTGACCCAGACTATGTCGAGGAGGGCATTGAGAGTTAGTGGAACATTTGGATGTGATGCAAGCTCCCCGATTCAGCAAATCTTAACTGTCTCGGCCTCGATTTCATACCCTCGAGCACCCAGATTCGCCTGCCATTGGAAAGGAATTTAACGCACAAAAATCTTCGGTAGAGAACGCGTATCATGAAATGAAGCTAACACTGTTCGTGGCATATTTTTCCGTGCATGCACGCTGGTAGTTATACGCGAAGAGGTTGAGAACCTGTGCAAGATACTAGATTTATCAGTTTTGGAGAGAGATAAATATACCCCTTAACTGTCCTGCAGCAGAGTTTTATACGAAGCTATGGTTGCAGGTCTATAGTCAGAGATCCGTAGCAGAACGCTGCTGTCTGATTGAATTACATTTTCGTAGCAACTACATACAAAATATCTGTTGCTAAGTCTTGAACGTAGATATTGATCGTACGATATCAAATATCGATCGCAATTTTTACAATATAACTGCCGTTGTTATAGCCGTGGAATCCATTCGTTTTCAATATATATCCTTTGATTTCCACTTGGGTAACTTACACCTTCATTTTACACTTGTAGACTATTCCCTATTTTCTAGTTTACTATATCTGAAAGAATCTGTATGAATACGCGCAGACTAGCTGATTCGGTAGCTGACTATTATATAAAATATCCAATGACGTGGCATCCTTCACTGGAACGGTCTGATTTGTTCAGCTTACATCAAAGCACCATAGTCGTCATAGTCGTCATCGTCGTCATCGTTCGTCATCGTCATCGCTTTGGCAATTGCGATAACGCGAATCGGCAGGGTATCGAAGCGGCGTGGCATAGCAAACTCACCAAGCTTCTCACTTGCCCCCTGTCTACGCTTTGATTATCGTCTTTAATGTTTTTCTTCTGGCCCCGTTGGGAGTCATAGAGTACTGCTATACATTCTGCTCTACTGTATTTAGCAGCCTTGCCTTCTCAATCGACGCCAGAACATCATTGCCTACCACTTGGTGACCAAAGACTTGTTTCTATGACTTCCTTGCTCACACAGTGTCGATAAAATCTGCCTAATTTTTTTGCCCGCTCGTTTGCATAGAACAGTACCATCTACAATCAGGTATTGCGAGAAAAAGGCTCCACAGACCAGTTATACAAACTCTCGGCGATCATTTTCACCCAAAAGTGGTGTAGGTGTGATTTAGACTTGATTCTCTATATGCGTCACCTATGAATTAGATATGAGCAACGAATATAAATTTACTTGAGCGGCTGCCGGCTCCTCTTCTGGGTGGAGCTAAAAAGATCATCTTATGTGAGTTATTTCCGCGGACTCTTTCAGTGAAAACAAACTTTTTTGTGCAAAGTGCGCGGCAGCTTCTCATTTGATTCACCACATCAGTGTGTTGTTAGCGTGGACTCTTTTAGTAATAAGAAAAGCTTTGTGTGCAAATACCCCGGTGTCCTCCCATGTTGTTATATTGAAACAGATAGCACCTATAAGATTCTGTATATAAACATGCTAAGTCGGGCTTTATCGATATTCTTAGAAGGGGATAGGCTGTAGGGTGTGAACTATATTTCGGAAATGAATCATTACTGTATGAGGAATAAACGCGCTGTTAATATGTCAAATATTCTTAGAAGGGGCTTACTCGTAGGGTATAAAACCATTTCGAAGACGACTTATTCTATCAAAGACATCCAACTTGTATTTTTCGAAAATGCTCCGCAAACGTGGGTCCTTCTTTTCGGACTCTCTACTCAGCTATGGTGTTCGTATTCTATGCTGCTCAAACCCACACGAGAAGGTATCACTTACTTTCGAGTGTCAGAACAAATGGAAGTCAGGAAACCTTTCGATCTACTCGGAGTCTCAATGGGGAGCTCACGTCCCCCCGATGCTTCCTGCCCGCGGCCACAAACCAGAACTTTTGGCCCCAAAAGAAATGCCAAGCGTAAGAGATCTACAAGCCCACGCTAGTATTCCAGTTATCATGCTGCACGCTTTGGCGCACATTGAACTTGGAGCTATCGACAATTATTGGGACACTATCGTTCGATTCGATCCGGTCAAGCATCAACTGTCTCAGGAGTTTTACGATGATTTTCTGAAGGTCGTAGGGGACGAAGCTCGTCATTTTGCTATGGTAGACAGAAGACTTAAGGATTTAGGATCCGAATATGGGGCTTTGCCAGCCACAAGGGCATTATTAGAGCATGCTGCGAACACAGCAGCAGACTTGGCTGCAAGGATTGCTGTCGTACCGTTGGTGCAGGAAGCTCGAGGTCTTGACTCTGGTGATCGATTGATCCATCGTATGAAGTCCATGGGGGACCCACAATCGGCCAATGTGGTGGAGCAGATTGTTCGAGAAGAACAAGAGCATGTTAGATGCGGAATCAAGTGGTTTCTTCATATTGCGAATGTTCAAAAGAGAGACAAGGACCCAATTGCATATTTTAAAGAATTGGTGTTGCAATTCTTTCCAGACGGTTTACCAGGACCGTTTGATGTAAAAGCGAGACTTGCTGCCAATATGGGATCAGAATGGTACCAGGATTTAGAAACAAAATCTGTGTTTCCACCCCAGTCACAGACTTTAAGGGTAAAATTAAGTGAAGACAAAGATTCACAGCAACGGGTCGCTACTTTTGCTTCTAGCAAGAAGAAGGTGATTCTAGCGGGGACAGTGTGGCCTGAGCGCACGAGCTCCGCCGCCGGCGTTCGTAGCACCGACATTATTAATGTGCTACAAGAGCGAGACTTCCAAGTTATGTGTGTATCTCCAAGTCGTATGAATGAGCATTCCAAATGTCTCCAAAAGCAAGGTGTGCGTTGTATGCAAGTAGATCCGAATACACGCGTGTTTGCGAAAGTACTGCTGGAAATGGTGCCCCAGCTGGTGGTATTTGACCGTTTTATTGCTGAAGAAATGTACGGATGGCAAGTCAAAAAGTACGCACCAGAAGCGTTGCGAGTACTTGACCTCCAAGACCTCCATTTTCTTCGCTGCACTCGAGAAATTGCTGTAAAGAAGCAAGGCGTTCGTTTCGAGGATACGCTGAACGGATCGCAGCTAGGCATTGATCCTGTAGAGGAACTTGCTATTCGTGAACTGGCATCAATTCACCGGTCTGATTTGACGCTGTACGTGTCAGAGGTCGAACGGGATTTGCTGGTATCTCGATTTCAGGTGCCGCAAATTGGTCTCCACCGTTGCGACTTTTTCTATCCTGACATTGAGTCATCAAAGCTGCGATCTTTTGATGATCGCAAGGATATTGCATTCATCGGCAGCTTCAAGCACAAACCTAATGTGGATGCTGTGGAGTGGATCCGAAAAACTATTTTGCCGTTGTTTCGAAACCTTGAAAATAATGCTGAAATTCATATTTACGGATCCCATGGCGAAACCAAGCGATTTGCAAATCTTGGAGCTCCCGCACAAGGATTATATATGAAAGGTTTCGCTCCTAACGTGCACGAGACGCTAGGTCGGTACCGACTGAGCATTGCACCCTTACGTTTTGGTGCCGGTATCAAAGGCAAAATTGCAGACAGCTGGTTTGTCGGGACACCATGCGTTAGCACTTCTATTGGTGCCGAAGGCATGGTTTCGGATGCAACAATTTGGGGAGGAGCAATTGCAAACGATCCAAGCCTTTTTGTTCGGGAGATGAAGTGCTTGTACAATGACAAATCTAGATGGCACACTGCGCAGGATGCTGGCGTGAAATTATGTTCCACACTTTACAACCGCTCGCAAAACAGTGATGCGTTGATGGAAGGGATCGAACGCGCTATGTGTAAGAAACATGAACGACGACAGCAAAACTGGATGGGTCGCATCTTATGGTCAGAGAGGTTTCGAGCAACGGAATACATGTCGAAATATATCCGCGCGAAAAATGAAGATCGATAGAACTCTCATTCCTATTTCCCAATATTTACGAATTATACTAATTAAGTTTTGTACATGGTTGCATGCTTTTACCTCGGACACAACTATTTCTCAAACTTGACCTTTGCGTGGTATTCCTGTACGAGCTGTACACAGGCCTTGGCATCGTCTACAGCGACGATAAGCCGGTCACTTTGCTGAAAGTTATCAGCAGATTTGAATTTAACATTCGCCTGATCCTACAATTTCAAAGAAATTGTAAAAAGATTTAGCAACCCAATCAATTCGTACCTTCGTACCTTAAAGTAAAAGACGAGTGAAAGATCAAGGTCATCCTTCTCAACAACTTTTATTAATGACGTCAAGTCGTATCTCGCTTCGACCAGCGCAAAGCCCTTGCGTTTCGCTGCCATCAAATTGAGCACAAGGAGAATCGAAGGCGTGAGAACTAGCTCTCGATGTCCCAACTGACTCAATTGTCCGTGAGCATTTTCGTCCTGCTCTACAAATCTAATCGCTGAAAAGAAGTTGAGATTTTTATTGGATAAGGATTTCCACTTTGACAAATCGATAAAGCGCGATGCAAACTCCGTATTTCCTCCATCACAAATTTGCATTGCATCTTCATTATTTTGAGCAGCCCCATCTGCTTGCATTGTCATTGATGGGTTGTGTGAATGTCGTTTCAACCGGGTGGCAACGGCAACAGCTTTGTCGAGAATCGTACTGCCAGTTCGCATTGGAGCGCTCTCACAAGCTGATGACATCAATGTCGTGCTAAGCAATTGCTCATCATTACTACATAAATTTGATCGCTCAGTTTCGTTTTTTTCGTTATCATCACTCGAAAGAGAATTTGTCGAAAGTCGTTTACATGGGAGTGTGCGACAATGTTCGCTTGGCTCACTATATGGGCTCCACTTGTTGTCTTCTGTGCCGCTGCGAACACGAAAAAGATAAAGTGTGTTCGCTTGCAAGCCCGATACAGACGACTTGAGCGTATCCGCGCTAATGTCCGGCTTCACTGTCCACCACATGGCAGCCAAACGATCTTTTGCATACTGAATTTGGTACTTTGTCACGCTTACGTCATTCACCGGATCCCATGTCACAACCACTTCGGAGCTAGAAGTTGCGATCACCGCTCCGATATGTGGAGCAACAGGAGCATGAGCCGACAAGGCTGCCATGTTGGCGTTGCTTTCGCCAGCTGCGAAGATAGCCATAGAGTTCATTAAACTAGTACGATCAGACTTCCTGTTGCCGCAAAGGTTTGAAGGTCCACTTGGGCTAGATGATGCAATGCCATTGGGTTGAAAAAACGATTGAGCCAGAGAAATGGCTTGGTTTTGAAATGTTGGTCCAATTACATCATTTGCACACTCTGGAAGTCGTTCCAGGACGACAGCGCCATCAGGAGTGTATTCAAAGGCCCAGAGTCCGTTTGTGTCAATATCTGCTTCCCAATGTCCATTTTGAAGTAAAATAAGTTCACCATTTTGCTCGTACTTTTGATCTTGATGAACGATGTCGTCATCGTCTCCGAGGTCAAGCCTTACAAAAACCTGGTTCGTACCTGGACAAACAAGCCTTTCTGATCCAGTTATGACAGCACCCTTCTTCAAAATTATACTTAATTTCGTGGCGTAAAAATCTGGGCGATCGCGAGCGTGAAATGCCAGTAGTACGCGGTAAAAATATCGACCACGCTCAACGTATTCTGGGCACACACCAGGTAAGAAAACTAAGGTACTTACATTCTTAGTGCTCAAAGAGATTGATGGTTCAGTCGATGATGCAGAGCTTGATGAACTAATCTTCAAAGTTTTCATAGAGCTGCTTGATAAGCTGTACGGGCCCCACCGTTGTCCGTCCCAGCAACGCATACGAAAGACTATTGACTCGCCTGGTTCGAGGCCAACCATCGTCCCATTCGTCTGGTCAGTACTGCCTGTTGTAGTCACCTCGGATGTTGTCCCTTCCTGTTTCATTGCAACTGGAAGCCAAGAAGTGAACTCATCGCCTGACAGTTTTGCATACTGAATCTGGTAGCGCGCAACCGACCGAGACGCTACCGGAAGAGACGTGTTGTCCCACGTTATACACAGCGAGTGCCTTGTTGCACAAACCAGAGTCGGTGCAAGTGGAGAAATCTTCGACAATGAATTAGACTTCCTGCGCACTTTTGCTGGTGTGAGGAAGCGCAACGTTACTGGACGAGACGCTTCAATGATACGATCAATCACCGTTAGAAACGGTGTATCCTCTAAGCTTACGCCATTGATTGCAACAAGTAAATCTCCAGTGCTGATCAGCCCACAGGCTGATGCTTGAGTGTCTGGAACCACGCTATCCACAACTGCTTGATATTTGTATGTAGTACGAGACTTTTGAAATGAAATTCCAATCGGCCCAGATTGTAGCTCGACATCAACCGGATTCCTTTCGCTTTTCTCTAAAATATCAATTGTCTGCATACGCAAATCGATCCACCCTTCCTTGCTTGCACCGGTAGGAGCATCATTGTTCGCTCTACTTAAATGGTATGACGTTGATGACACAGCGTCTCTCGCAGCCGCCTTGAGCAACGTCAGGCGTTGCGATAGCGTTGAGACCGCTCCACTCGTGGGTTTCAATGTTTCATCCTTTTCTTTTTTTGAGCACCTGCTGTTATGAAATGCTGAGAGGACAGAGGGGGGGCTGAACTTATTCGTAGACTGACGGCAACTCGTGTTATGGAATTCAGAGCATGAGCTGACATCGTCCTCGGTAGCTGTATCATCTTGCGAAGGCGTACGCGACCGATTGATACCAATTCTTGCGAGCAAATTAAAGCCACCTGCTGGTGAGCTATGAACCGAGTTAGGTGAGCACATACAAAATTCAGCTGTCGGTCGAAGTGACGAAGAGGAAACAAGAAGTTGCTCCTTAGTAAACACATCCATGCTCTGGATACTCTTCTCCAGCTGTTCAAATCCACCATCAAGACGACTTACGTATTTGAAGCCTTTTTGCAAAAACATCAGGACTATTCGGGTCACAGATACGTGCTCCACATGAAGTAAAGACGTCTCATGACTGGCAGTTTCGCTAGCTAAGATACCTGGTCCGCTCGCGCTTATTGCTGATCCAAAAGAAGGCGACGTGAAAGGAGGCACGGATTGTACGGATCCAATGATCTCTGCAGCTCCGTGAATTTTGTTGACCTTTCGGCTTGACTCTTGCACAGACTTATCGTTCGAAGTAAGGCTACTCAAGAGAGTGATCGGGTTTACTACTGTTTTACTCAATGAAAATTTTTCGGACGCTGAATCGACAGAAGGCCCGACAAAACAAAAATGGCAGCCTTTCATGCGTGCAAAACCCTTCATAAGGCGATCCAACGCATCTGGCCGTTCCATGATGTCCGGATCTATGTGGTGGGAGAGGCTCAAATGCAATTTGTGGTATTCCAACGCTGGTCGGCAGTCAAGGAGGATAAACTTTAAAGCCTTTGCTCCATCTTTTCCATCAATATCAGAATATGAGGACAGCAGCGGCTCCTGATCCTTCGAGGGTGACCACAATGATTCCAAGTTCAAAGGATCTTGTTGAGAATCCTCGCCGCTCGATGTTTGCTCTACCGCAAGCTTCTTTTTATGCTGAAAGACTAATCGCGCCATAAAACTTTGCACTAATTCTTCAGGGTAGACCTGCAGACTGGAGCTTGCGTGAAGATGATCCAAAAAAAGCGTTATGGCATCTGGATAGCCTCCATGGCAAGAAAAAAACAAGTCTCTCTTGAACGATTTTGGAGTCAACTCGGAAATGAGAAGTGCATCAGCACAAATTTGCTCAAGCTCTTCACAAGATGAGAAAGTGAGAGAGCTTAGCACTTGAGGCAGCATAGCAATGTCAGCCTGAAAGATCTTCTTTCGATGAGCTTTAACCAATGCGTATGCAACAAAGTGCGGTACATAAGGATCTTTCTCCAAGAGAAAAAAATCCCAAAGATAAAACACGGTTTCGGGCGGTAGTGAACGTGCAAATAGCGTCATAAACCATGGTGTCACATAAAGCTCTGGTGTCATATCATGTTGGTCGAGATAATGGCACAGCTCTGGGTCATGGTACAGCATTAACAGTCTAAACAATTGAAGCGAGCACTGTAGCGATTGAAACTCTTTGTCTATAAACATATGGGGTAAAAAGCGATCGATAAGTGCGTAGAAGCACTGAAATACAACTCCTTCAGCTAATGGTGTTTCTTCGTTAAATCCATCTTTACGCTCTGTGAGCAATAAAAATGGAGCCAGTACTTCATTCATACCCTGTTTGTATCGAATGTTACGACATTTACAGTAGTAAGTGAGCAGCTTGACCACAAGCTCGACAGTTTCAGACGCTTGGAATCTTGGCTCATTGCTTCTGGTTCTTACTGCGTCGGCTGCAATAACTCGTTGGTTATCCAAGTCTTCTTCTACCTGTAAAATGCTTTGATCCAGATTCAATCGCTCGGTACGAGCAACACCGAGAAGCTCTTGCCACACCTGGGAGCGCAAGTTTGATGGCACGCCACCGATAGATCGGCATATGACACCAATAATAAAATGGTCAGGTCGTCGCTTTTGCATCTCGAGTTCCAATTGGTGCGTCAGAACGCTATGTGTTGTCTGATTGATGACTGTAGAGCCTGAGGAAGCCTCCGAAGTATCGTGTGCAGCTTGTTGAAGGGTCATTGGGACGGCGAGAAAGGCTTACGATTTGATGATGTGCTAGCAAGATGTATACAAGATGTACACTCATGTAGATGTCCTCTATATCGGGGACACCAATATCACGGACGCTTCTCTCGCGCGTCTCGCCGAAAGACTTCAGACGTCTGATATCGTACATGCTTCGCGTGGCCCACATATATTTTTTTCTGAATAAATAATGTCACTTACTCGTTCTTACGTTTTTAAAACAACGCATTGTGTTATTTCGTCGATTATGAAACCGGAGTAACGTGTAATCGGACTCTTAAAACTTGTCCTTTTGGTTTCGCAAAAAGTTGTAAGGAACGGCTTCAGTCTGTAGCAACTGATGCTCCAGTGCAGAAGTGTGTAGCTCATAGCGAAGCAGGACACTACAGCGTAGGCGATTCACTACATCAAGCAATGAGGTATGTTAATCTCTGCTTGGCTCCACACGCCGCTCATAAGTTATTGTGCCGGTCGCTGGATCAAACGCTCGTGTAAGCGGACAATAACTAGGCTTTGACAAAGTTTGAATCTGCAATTTGTAAACCTGATGTTTCGGCCGTCAAATATTTTACGCATTGCAACAAGTTATCGTGCACCTCGCACAGCAATAATTTTCACTCCAAACTCTGCATTAACAAATGGACAAAGGACGGGGTTAAGCTCTACCCCAGTAGCAGGGTCGAAAGCGTTAGTAGTAACTTGGCACTCTTATGCTTTCTGATTTAAAAGTGAATGTATTGAGATTTAAGTCATATAAAACTAACTCAGATTGTGTGCCCAAAAATATGTAGCCATGACTAATTCTCAAATTTTTATGTCAATTTTCAGCGAAATA